TTTTCAATAATACATTTTAAATTTAGATAATATTAGAAATTTTTTTTAATTTGTATAATAAAATAATTATAAAATATAAACTAATAATTATAATTTCAGTATATAATATTATAATTAGTGAGGTTGTAATAATTTTGGATTATAGTTAGTTAGGCTGTAATAGTTTGGGTTTTTTTAACGGATTAGGGCTTTTCGCCAAAACGAGATTTTAATGACCATTCTTTTATTGATTAGTCTACTCTTTATAATAGTCCATATATAATTATATATTTTATCCATGATTTTTCTTTTATGTGATGCAAATTTAATAGTTAAAATAAGTTTATACAAGGAAAGAGTATCTCAATATTCACAAATTGATAAAAAAACTGAAAGTTAATAATGTAGTACCCTCATTTTCTATTGGATTCCTAAAAAACAACATTTATAATGAATTTTAATATTTTTTTTAGATTTTTTTGAAGCTTTAATCCGACCGATTCAGCCGATTCCTGATCCGGATCTGTTTTTGAGATGCCCAATTCGGGTCACCGATTCGCTTTTTAAACCATTGGAACTATGTATATAAAGTATAAACCCTAACCGTTAACCATAGTTATAAATTGACTATACCATAGTTAAAATATTTAATGATAAAAAAAAATTTGTCTGTTTTTTGGTATGTACTAAGTAGGTGTAATATTTGCTAAAGAAATTAATGAGAAAAGTTATATGGTGTATTTTTTAGTATTTATTTAATTAAATTTGATATTTGTTGAAGTATTTAATGTGAAAATTGTATGGTGTACTTTTTTTGGTATGTATTTAAGTAGATGTGATCTTTGTTAAAGTATATAGGTGTGATCTTTGTTAAAGTATTTAATGTGAAAATTATATGCTATATTTTTTTTGGTATATACTAAGTAGGTGTGATGTTTGTTAAAACATTTAATGAAGAAATTCATATGGTGCATTTATCATGAACTTATTATTTTATTTTTTATAAAGACCATGAACCCCTAATGTGTACATATATATTCTATATATTTTTTTTTTTTATTAAAAAACAAGAAAGAAGATACAATGGTTAGGTTAAAAGATCCATTTTGGGATTATTGTGAAGAAATATGACATAAATTGTATTGCAAATTTTACGGTGAAAGCTTTTCTGCAGGGATAACAAGATTCAAATATCACTTGTCAAGAGAACAAGGGAATGATATAAAAGTTTGTCATCAAGAACCTGATGATGTATATGCTTTTGGCTGTTTCTGTGATACACGATGTATCTTCTAAGCCTCCAAAAAAGAAGCACAAAATTACATCATATGTTCAAAATATTGATCAATGTTCAATAAACCTAGGTACATCTACTACCAGTTCGCGTTTGCAACAAAGTTCTTTACCATTATTGTTGATTAAGAAAAATAAAGATTTGTTGATAAAAAAGTTGCTCATGCATTTATTATGAATAATATTACATTTAATGTTATCAAAGCACAATCATTTGTCAATATGATAAATGCATGTATCAATTTTGGTGCTAGTTACAAATTGCCAAGTTACTTATTTGTTCGCACTAAATTAGTACAAGAACTTAAGACAGATGTCGATGCACATGTAACTTCAATAGAAGAGTCATGAGTTCAATCATGATGTACTTTGATGTCAGATCTTTTATTGGATATGGAAAACCAATGTTGTTGCATATTGTCCAAAAGGATCAATTTTTATAAATGCATTTCAGGTATCTGAGCATAGCATAACTGGATTATTTTTGGAAAAGATTCTTGTTCAAGTCATTGAGGAGTTATGACCATAAAATATAGTTCATCTTGTGACTGATAATGGATCAAATTATGTACTTATTGGTGATCTAATAGAATCGAGATTATCTTATATTAATAAAACACGGTGTGCTACCCATGGGTTGAATTTGCTTCTAGAAGACATTTAAGGATGCTAAGTTAATAGTGGATTTTAGGTATTGGCGTACCATTATTTTAGATTTAATGAGAAAACACACTAATGGAAAGGAATTAAAAAAGAATGGTAAAACCGGATTTTCCACCAACTTTTTGATAGTTCAATCTATATCACAAGTAAAAGAGGGTTTAAGAGTGATGATTGCATCCTCTGAGTGGAGAGTTATGAATTATAGTAAGAGTAAAAATGGTACAAAAATTACAAAAATAATTCAAATCTCCAAATTTTAGAATAATGCGACAGATGCAATCACTACCTTAACGCCTCTTATCAAGGTGCTTAGTTTGGGTGATAGTGAGGTGCCAACCATGTGATCTTTATATGAAGCAATGGAAAGGGCAAGGGAAGCACTAAAGAGAAATTGTAATGGCAATGAATCTAGGTATCTTGAATTGGTAAAGATATTTGAAAATAAGCGAAAGGGAAATATCATTAACCCCATTCATGCTGCTACCACATTTTTTAATCCAACTTTAATGTATGGTGGGTTTGTTAAACTTGATAATCCTGAAGTGAAGGTTGGCTTTACCTTGATTTCAAATTAAATGATTCAGGGAAAACAAAAAATTGTATTCTTTTCAGAGTTGTTGAGTACCATATGCGGGATTCAAATATATTTGATGGTGTTGCATTGGGATTATTGTCAACAACTCATCCGCATAAGTATCTTCTTGATTATTAATTTTTTGTATCTTTTTGTATTATTTATTTTTTAGTATTTTAAGAAAATAAATTTTATTTCACTTTTACTTGTATCTTGAGTATGTGACTAAACATTTTTCATTATGTAGGAGTTTGGTGGGAAGTATGTGAAGAAAGCATTCCACTGGTTCGAATGGTTGCCATTCGGATTTTGAACTAACCATATAGCTCATCAGCGTACAAAAGAAATTGGAGTGCTTTTGAGGCAACTCAAACAAAAAAAAGGAATAGATTGATATCAACTATGTTAACTGACTTGATTTAAATACAAGTGAATTCGAAGATGATGGCTGCATCTCGTGAAAGTGAAATTCGAGAGTGTAATGCAATTAATCTGGAACAATTTGGTTAATTGCCGGAAGAGGTTTTCAAAGAGGCGGAAAATCATGATGCATGGCTACATAACTTGGGGATTACATGTTCCCGAACTCTTAACTTTTTTTTTGACTCTACCATGCCTTATGCTCAATTTTGAATATTTCTAGTTAATTTTGTATTTAATAGTGGATGATAGGATGAGAATCATGAGACATCTAAATTAATTGACTTACGCATATTAGTCTAGTAAAATTTTTATGGATGGATCAGTTATTGATGGCTTTGACATAATTTTTAGTTTTTAAAATTTCAAAATTTCTAACATTTGAACATATCCGATTTTTTGAGCTTAGTCCGAGACATTGGCGATATCTTTACATGAAGTATTTTTGCCGATTTGTATTTTTTATCGAACTTTTTATCCAAATTTTTAAACCAAAAATAATTTCTTTCGGATTTTATGGCAAGTCGATTTGTTGATAGTCCCCAACTTGTTAACTATGCCCATTAGTGATACTTTACGGAGTATAACCACAAAAGACATTTTCCAAATAAATTTCTGAAATTTCTGTAATGCCTTACCATTGTAAACGTTGTTGTTACGTATCGCTTGGGACATTTTGAGGACAGAAAAGGCATCCTTTTTTTTGGACCCTCCCTACCCCTGATGTGAGAGTTGACGACGCCAACGTATCATCATCCCCTCTCGCTCTCTATACCTGCATTATTATAACTCCCTTCTCATTAATTGCCACCAAACAACAACGGTCCCTTCCGTCCTTCCTCCAAACGGAGGGCGAGAGGGAAAGAGAAAGAGAAGTGGTTGTTTCAGATGTTCATAGATGAGTTCCTCCAAAGGGAGGGAGAGAGGGAAAGAGAAAGAAAAGTGGTTGTTTCAGATGTTCATAGATATATCATCTGGATATCAAGATATATATGTATGAATATGAAAAAAATAATAGATTTTAAGTTTTGAAAATAATATATTCAGAAGATATTTTTGAACGATTAATTTTTAAGATTATCAAACTTTCATTCGTAAGTCGATTTACATTATTTTTGAAGCTTTAAACTTTATATATATATATATTATTTTTTTTTTCATTCAAAAGAAATATAAATAAAAATAAAAATATATTTTAAAGCTATCACAAAAAATTTTAATATTAAAACTATATTTCATGATTTGAAGGTAGGCTCTAATTTGATTATTTAAAGCCTAGGCCGTATAAAAACAGCACCCTTCGTTAAAACCGCAGCATTTCGAGTGAAGAATGAAGCAACGACATTGCGTGTTAGGTACATCTTCCTCTCTCTAACACCCTCTCGCTTCTGACACACTCCGGAGTCCGGACACACGTTTCTTTGAAAATGAAGTTTATATTCCGATGAAGATTTTCAGGAAACTCCCATTAATCATTGTAATTATCATCGTATTTTATTACGAGTCACAAGACTTTGTTGTGGCATAGTTTCCCACCCATTATTTTGATATTGCTGCCCAAAAGTAGGGCCGGGTCATTCCTACCCTAGCCTTGCCCAACACTATCCCCCTGGGGACCGGGCCAGGCCCAATCCTAGTCCTATCATGGTAAAACATTAGGAATGCACCCATATTTATTCGGTTGGCCAAACTAGATCCCAATTTAACTATATTATAAGGACACGATTTCTATGCCCAAACTAGATCCCAATTAAACTATATTATGACGACACAGTTTCTATGCAGCCGCATATTAAAGAAATACAAACTTGGCAATAAATATGATCGTTAAAATGGGGATCATGAACATGAAAAAAAATAATTATATTGAAAAACATTTGAACTGCCCACTTCATCTATCTTCTAATCCCCTTGAATATGATATACAGGAGTGACTCCTCTCCAGCTCTGCTGCAACAGCGAGAACAATTATTGTCTTGCGGTGGTATGTGTGTACAGAACGAAGAACTAGAGAACCATCATGGTGAGTTAGTTCCATTTACTTTTAGATGGATCACCAATTTGTATTGATTTTAAAGATGGATATTTTATACCTCTAGACCAAAAATTGTAAAAAGGCGAACTAGCCCGCATGAAACGATTTACCATATAATAATCTTTTTTCTAACCCCATTTTTTCAAAGTAATCACCAGGCACTAAAGACAGTGTGTAATGCGAGCAGTGTATCTTTTGTTTGCCCTTTTGCAAGATTTTAGACATTGACGCAGTAAGGTAGTGCATTAGGTGAAGAGAGAGAGAGATGGGTTATGTTCTCCAAGGAGGTACTTAAAAAATGTGAAGAGGTGGCGTGTGGGGTTGGGATTGAAGAAATCAACCGACACAAGAAAACACCTAACCACCTCTGATTTCTCGTCCCTTCTGGTTCGCCTCCCCCAAGAGAGGGAAACACCACACCACTATTCTTGGGTCACTGCAATTTGTGCCTTCTTTCCCTTGCTTTTATGCCTTTTCTCTCTCTCTGGAATTTGTGCTCTCGGCTTGTCTCGTGTTTCAGTTGTTATTTTCGTCTGTTAAGGCTCATGACCCGATGCTCTAGATCCATCTGGTATCCGGGTTTTCTCCCTCTGCAACCATCCGGTCCGTTCCATCAGGCGAATATGTATTGTGCATTCAATTCAAATACCGACTCCTTTCCTCCTCTCTCTAGATTTTGGGTCCCCTACTTTCTCTCTCATCCCCTTATTTATTGCTGCTCTCTCTCTCCTTTCCCTTGCCTATTCACTGCTAAGGAAATCAATCTCCCACGGTTTCATTCAACATAGGAAACCCGTATCTCTCTCTCTCTATCCATTTCCTCTTTCTTCTTCAATCAATGGGTAATTCTCGCAGGATTCACAGTTGCAGGCATCTACTTCATCTCATTCATTTCATTCTCGTATTAAATACTGTGAAGATAATTGTTACAGTTGAAGGTAACTCCCTCTTATCCACACACTCTCTCTCTTCCTATTCTCTCTCTAAATCCAATTTCGCATTGTTTTACAGGTAGCAGAACAAACAGCAAACTTGACATTTCTCATGCCAAGGTACACAAATCTCACTCCAATTTGTGAATGAATGAAAACTCACATCGAAATCCTCCTGTTTGTTATGATTTCTGATTGGGTGTTCTTTCTCACTCATTTTTTCTTTGGGGAATATTACATTTTCTCACTCCTGTGGCTTGTTTATTCGTAATTTGCAGATGGGTGGTGTAGAGAGAGGGAATATGAGGCAAGTGCCCGGAGGATTGAAGGCTCAGATAGGGTCGAGACCTCCAAGGTGCGAGAAGAAGTGCATTTTATGTGGCCACTGTGAACCAATCTTGGTCCCTGCATTTCCACAATATAAGAGTGGGAGAAGGCACGCAGCCTTGGTTTCATTTAGCTCAAGGTTTGAAGATAGCTCAAACTATAAGCCCATGAACTGGAAGTGTAAATGTGGGAACATGATCTTCAATCCCTAGCCCCACTAATTGCTCTCTCTAATTGGATTAGTAGGAGATATGGTTCTAATTTTTTTGATTTTCTTGATATTATTGACCCATTTTTTTTGGTGAGACAAGAATAGTTCTTGTGTATTTATCACATCCTTTCATCCTGTGTAATTTGATGAATTTTACATATATATGTACAAGGATTTTTTTCGGGGTGCAGTTTGTATGGAGCCTACACTCTAAACAATCAAATTAGAGCCTACCTTTTAACAATCGAATTAGAGCTCACCTTGTCCAGAAATGTGGTTTCCACACTGAAAATCTTGATGATGGCTTTCAAATATATTTTTATCTGTACTTATAAAGTTTAGATTGACATATCTTGAAAATTGACTGTCCAAAACTACATCACAAAATACGTTATTTTCAATGCATGTTGATGTTGAGATGATCAATTTGAAGATATTTGAACATCGAAACGATTTTTTTTAGTGAAAGTTTTGAGGTAGGTTTTAATTTGATTGTTTAGAGCCTCGGCTCTATCTAAACATTTCCCTTTTTGTTTTTTTTTTTGGATTGAGACTTGTAACTAGAGAGAGAGAGAGAGACGGGGATTTGTGGTAAAGAGAAACTTGTTTTATTTTGTGTTTTATTGTGCTTCTTTGACGTTTTGCTGCTTTATTCAGAGGCCTGAGGGGTTAGGAGGCAAAAAAGGAGCCTCATCAATCCGAAAAAAAGAAAAAAAAAAAAACCAAGAAATCAAATCATTAATGAACTCATCACTCACACCAATCATTCCTAGAAGTTAGAAAAGTAAAAATAAAAAAGATTTCAGGAGTTTATGCGAATTATCAAAAGATTGATGCGTTAAAATCTAATCATTAGTGCGGAAAAGAGAAGGGTACTTTAGAAATTTCCTGAAGAAATGTGGGCGAAAACGTAGTACCTAAGAGCAAAACGTGGGGTAGTCTTATTAAATTAGTTAGGGGTTTTGCACACGCCATGCGCCGATGATAAGTCTTGTCAATGCCATCACCCTTCTGTATCCATCAATGCTGCTGCTCATTACATTTCTCACAATCATGCAACTACTAAATGGGTGCGGTTTGTATAAAGCCGTCGAGAAATGGGGTTTTAATATTGAAAATTTTTGTAATAATTTTAAAATATTTTTTTATATTTATTTATAAAGTCTAAAGCTTGAAAAATATTGTAGATCAACATATGCATGAACTTGAAAATTAATGGTCTAAAAATTCGTTTCAAAATATACTATTTTCGTAACATGCAATCCATTTTTTTGTCTCACGTCTATAAATGTCGAGATGATCAATTTGAATATCAAAACAACCTCTTTTAGTGAAATTTGATTTTTTAGAGCATGGATTCTATATAAACTTTTTCTCTAATAAATAGGTGAGAAAGCCGACTCATTTATTCCTACGTTGTCTCTTGTCTATCTAACGTCCATCTCTGCATGTTAAAAAAAAATTACATCTAATAAAAATTAAAATTGATGGTGTGAAGAAAGGACTTCAAAAATTAATATTTATATTTTTTAAAAAAGTAAAATTCTAGATTCAGATCATTATCAAACCCTAAAATTTTGGATAAAAAAAACATCTTTGAAATATATTTTGTAAGGAGACTTACCAAACACTTTTTATGTCAAAAAATTAAAAATTAAAATAGATAGTGAAGAAAAGAATAAAAAAAGTATTTATATTGTTTTAAAAAAGAATTTCAACCTTAAATCATTGCCATGGTTGATGTTATTGAACTTTGAAATTTTGGATCGAAAATACCCCTGTCAAATGTATTTTGTACAGAGACGGACTGCACAATAGTATGACTCGGCCGACTCACGAAACACTTTTCTACACGTTTACGAGGAAGACAAATAAAGAAATATGCACTACCACGTTGTTTTACCGGCAGCAATGAGACTGTACTCACTCGGGGATATGGTTTACATTTACTAACGGGGTTAGAAGACCCAATTAGAAGAATGTTTTCAAGTTTGAAATTTTTTTAAGCTCGGATTTTCAACAATCCCATAGAGAGATCAACTCAAATATCATGCAGAATCAGTTAATTTTAGAGATCAGTAAAAAGAGTGGAGTCGCTCAAATTATAAGCTAAAAAATATTATAGATCTATACAGGTCCGATCTTTTTTTAAGTCTCCTGGTAGTATCAGCTCCAAATCTGTAAACTAGATCTTAAAAACTTTCTAAAATTTAATTAAATAAGAAAAATAAATAAATAATCAGAAAAATAAAATAGAAAATAAAAGAAGAAATAAACAAACAAAAATAAAAGAGAAAAAAGGAGCACATACCCATAGCAAGACTAGCGATTGATTTAAACTTTTTGATGTCTTCTCTTGCTTTCATGAAGCATGTCTCTAAGGTCATGATTTGGATAAAGGAGAGTTTGTTCTTAAGATGGGGAATTTTGAGAGGATCTAGGCTTAGGATCTCTAGCTTAAGGCTTTCTAGAGTTTTTTCGTATTTTTCTAGAGGTTTTTCTGTAAATTTCTAGGGGTTTTTAGTTTTTTCCTATTTTCTAGGTATTTTAGATAAATTTCATATTTTTCTTGGATTTTTTCAAATTTTCTAGAGAGTTCTTCCTATTTATGTGAAATGTTTGGAAATTTCTTAATTATCTACGAACTTTCCTAAGGATTTTCTAAGTATTTTTCTATATATTTTCTGGGATTTTAGAGAAGGTATTTATTTGTTTTAGACTAGGGTTAGGGTAGAAATAATTTGATATCATATCTTACTTCTAGTTTGATTAGAATTAGGCTAAGTTTTTTAGATTTTTACCAAATAATCATGCGAAAATTGATCGAAAATATAGTCGAAATAGGGTTAGGACACGTTTTGGCCCATCCCGGGCGTTGCGCAGGGCCAATACACGGAAATGCACAACACATGTCAAGTCGTGTAGGGGGCTAAAATGTCATTTTCCTAAACACTTTTCCAGGGGCCAAAACTTTCGAACTGTTAGAAAGCTTGTGACCTCATCTATAATTTGGAATTAAATTTGAGTTACTTTTGAGGGGTCTATAAAGCTAGGACTTTAGGGGTCTTGGTTTTAGTTTTCTGGGTGTCCGATCGGTGTTCAGATTAGTTTTTTTGGGTTCATTAGGCTGGGTGTCTAAGTGACTATTTGAGGGTATTGTGATAGGTTTTAGGTAACTTTGGGACTTTTCTAAGGGTGTAGGTTCACTATGGCTCACTAGACATAATGCGGTTCTTAGGACGAATGAGGGTTTCTAGGAATTTCCTTAGCCAAAATTTCTTGGGGTTGTAAACAAAATTGGACGTGATTTTTATGAGCCCCCCAACTCATACTATTCTCGTGCGGGCTCCCTATAACACACATACCCATTTTTGATATGGAAGTTGAATCCAAATTTATATAGATTTAACACTTTTTCTTTGAAATTTTGTAAGCCATTAAAAAATTGTTGACTGATTACTCTTAAAAGAAAAAAATCCAAATTGGAGTTTATCTCACCCTCTAAATATTGGACGGTCTCTTTTCAATAATGAGACATTATTTTTTCAAGTGTGTAGAGTGTGCAATTATGATTTTTTTATTAACAATTAATCTATGCGTTGAAGAGGTTATATCCCCAAAATCTAGGGTCCTAAATTTAATTCTAGTTGGGGTTTGATAGTATACTTCCGATGGAGTAGAATATCTTTTGGCTTTGCTTACGTAATGTTTCTCCCTAAAAAGAGTCTAGTACACTAAGTTTTTTCGTGAGCATAGTATAGTTCTACTCCATTGGTTATGACCTACTTAGGAGATTTTTTTCACTTTGAAATTTTGATAACCACCTTATATCACTAGGGTGATTTTTTCAAAAAAAAATAAAAATAAAAATAAAAATAAAAATAAAAATAAATTAAAATCTACATTTTCTAATACTTAGATCTCACCCTTTAAAATTTGGACATATTCTATTTGATCTGGAGACATTATTGTTTTCAAATGCTTAAATAGTGCAATTAAGAAGTTTTTTTAATGAGATTAATCTGTGAGTTGAATAGGTTATATTCCCAAAATTTGGGATCCTAAAACTAATTGCTCGGTTTTTTCAGAGAGAGTAAATGGACAGTATATACGTGAGTAGAATATCTCTTGGCCCCACGAAAATATCAATCGCTAAAAATGCACGTGTATTTGTAAAAGTAACATAGGCAACAATGCTTTAATATTAACCGATGGTTTTGGAAAAGGAAAGTTAAAAGGAAATTTACAATTTTTTTGTTTCGTTATTAAAATAAGCCGTTAATATTTGCAAAGATCGATCTCCAAATTTTTTTATTTTTTTTAAATTTGCTTCCGGTCCGTCAGATTTTTCATACATTGAAACACCTTCAAACCAATAAAAAATCAAAACCTAAAAAGTAAAAATGCCAATTCCTCCCCTCTACGGTCTTCCTCTGCAACAAGTCTCACTCTCCTTCTAGGTCCAAGCCTCTCTCTTTTTCTCTCCAATTCCAATAACACAACACAATCTTCAGCTCACTGTTTAAATTTTTTAGCCCATGGGTCTTCATCCATTTTATTAAATTTTGTGGGTTTTTTGTCTCTCTTTCTTTAAAATCTGGCGATGATCCCAAATTCTGGCAAGTAACAGTCACCAGAAAACTCCATGGGCAACAAACTCTGCACCTGTTTCACTGAAATCCAGGCACCAAAACCGGAAGAGCCTCTTCCCTCTTCTGATGAAGGTTTAGGCCACTCCTTTTGCTACATAAGGCTGGACCCCAATGGCCATTCGTCTTCTAAAGTTCACTATCAGGAAACAGCAAATAATTTGAGGGCAGCCCCAACTACTTTTCGTTCGATTTCAAGAGCCTCTCTTAGAGCCAATACCTTAACTTCTCTCTCTACTGCTCCTTCATGGCAAGTTTGTCGCTTTGATTGATCCTCTGTTTTCGAGAGCACTGATTCTTTTGCCTCTGTTCCTTTGCAACTTGCTCATCCACAAGGTTTTTCAGGTTCTGGCAATCTTAATGGTGTGGTTTGTGATCAAAAGCTTCCCTCGGGTCCTATAGAGAGAGGGTTTCTCTCTAGTCCTCTTGATCGAAACTTCTGTTTGGGTCCACTCGAGCAATTTCAGAGGTCTCTCTCACAGTGGGGCTAGGCATCTTCACTGCCTTGGCTATGTGATCCATTAGGCCATTAAAGGAGTGT